TCTGCCTCTGCCTCTGCCTCTGCCTCTGCCTCTGCCTCTGCCTCCTGATCACTAGGATTAAAGCTATGTGTTACCACGGCCTGGTTGGTTGCGTCTTTTAATAAGGCAATGGTCTAAGTGGTTTGTCTGCCAGATTCATGGCTGACTAGGGTGTGTCTATGGTGTAAGCTGTCGTCAGCATTCAGAACTTCAGAGCGGCTGACTTCAGAGGCATGGGGACACTAAAGAGGATCTGAGAAGGGAATGTCTCTGCTTCACCCACTCTTCCTCACCAAGTCACAGGTTCTGTATGGAGATGCTCAGTGGGTAAAGTCACTTAGTGCCAAGCCTTTAGCACCAAGAACCACATGGTAGAAAGGGAGAACTTGTTCTCTGACCTTTGCACTAGTGCATAAACACACACACACACACACACACACACACACACACACACACACACTCACAATAAAAAATTCAAAAATCACAGGTTCTTTTCAGATTGTATGTTATCAATGAATGCCCACAGTTTCTATACCAGGATAGTCTAAGTTCATGACGTAGTATGCACACAGCTGTTAAGCTTCAGATGATTTTATGCAGAATGTCAAAATTTGGCAGAATACAGATTCTCAAATTTAAATCTTTTCTTAGCTCTCGTCTCTCATCTTGAAAGCACTAAATTTGAATTAACCTCTTCTAGCAATCCTGCCTGTTAGAAATCAGAGTGGAAATTACCACTCAGAAATTAGCTTGTTAGAGACAGCCTCGTGACTGTGGGGACCATAGTCAGGCCTAGGGATGGGGGAGCAATTATAGATATTATGAGAACATTGGGAGAATTAGATTAAAGCCCCAAAGTAAGGAAGACAGCTGCTATGAACAACATGAGGCAGAGGAGCAAGATTTCAGAGAAAAATTCCCAAACCAAGGACATAGGCTGACTTCATAATCTCTGGTAAGCAAGGCTTGCTTTACTCCTCCAAGATACATATGTGTTCATAGCATCTCTTGTCAGTTGTCTATGTCCAGGGTGCAAACTTGAGAGGCTGTGAGAGCCAAAGTTACATTTTAAGTTTTAATTACAATGCCTTAGAGATCCATGAAACAAAAATGCTTCTGATCTGTAAGCCCCTGGCCCAAGGACAGATGGGGGCTATTGTTTATGGGAGACAGCAAGCCACATCTTTTCCCTTGCCTAAATAAGTGTGTTTGACCCAGATGTACCGGATGTGCTTGATCACATGTGGGTGGGAGGTTCACAGGCAGGAAATATATCAGGATACATGGTTACCCTGATTGAACCTGATGGCAGATACAATGAATTATGGGTTTTGCTTCTTAAACCCTTGCCATACTCGATTCTGGGCCATTACGTGGGAGCCTGGGTATGAACCTGGCCAGAGCCCATCCACCTGGCCAGTATTTAATAAAACTGTGGTGCTGGTCTTAATCTCCATTGGTGGGATTAACAGTAGCACCCATTGCTACAGAGTTCAGGGTCAGTTTCTCAAAATAACCAACCAGCTTCAGAAGGCCCACATTTCTAACACATGTAAACATTATATTCAAGTTGCTTAGAAAGAGAGAGAGGGAGAGAGAGAGAGAGAGAGAGAGAGAGAGAGAGAGAGAGCCCTTGCCAACCAGCAACTTTGATATTAGCTGAATCACCTACCTCCCTGCCCTGCCAGTTTCCTCCTGTATTCAACAGAGTTCAAAATGATCCCCATTTCCTCAAGTTTTACAGGAATCAGTACTTTTAGAAAACAAACCTAACATTTAGTAGGAGCTGAATGAATCAATCCTTTACTCAAACGTAACCTTTAGTAGGAATTGAACGAATCCCTTTCCCTGTTGTTTTTCAGGCCCTCTGAAATACTACTTAAGTCACTAAAACAACAGAAATCATGTGCAGTCATATAGACAAAGACCACAATGTGAATTTAAATGAGGTAAGGTGGTGTTTTGCCTTATTTTATTTCTAGTGCCTTTCTTGAATTTGCTAAGGTTTCTCTAAACCAGGGGTTCTCAATTTGTGAGTCAGACCCTTTTGAGGGTCAAATATCAGATATCCTGCATGTCAGATATTTACATTATGATTCATAACAGTGGCACAATTGCAGTTATGAAATAGCAATGAAAATAATGTTATGGTGGGGAGTGGGGTGGGGGGTCACCATGACATGAAGAACAGTATTAAAGAGTTAAGAAGGCTGAGAACCACTGCTCTAAAACCTTTTGGAAATAGTAGCATATTATGTTAATATCTTCAGTGACATAAAAACCTGCCATCCAGTTTATGAGTGGTGGTAACAGTGTCATTCTATTTGGATTGTTTTCTTCTAAATACCTTACACATGTTGCTTCGTTCGCTTGGGGATTTTACAATCTCTAGTGGAAACTTAGATTTTGAAATACACAAAATCCAATTACTTTATTTTTTAAGATTTTTTTTATTTTTATGTGTATATGTCACTTGTGTGCAGGTGACAGCAGAGGCCAGAAGAGGGTGGTCATCTTCTAAAGCTGGAGCTATAAGTGGTTGTGACCCACCCAAAGTGGGTAATGGGAACCAAACTCAGATCCTCTGGAAGCACTTTACTGCTGTTGTTGACGTTTTAATTAATTAGTTTTTATTTTATGTGCTATGAGTGGTTTGCCTGCATGTATGTATGTGCCCCACATGTGCCTGAATAAACCAGAAGAGGGCATCTGACCCCCTGGAATTAGGGTTATAAACAGTTATGAGATGACATGTGGTTGGTTGGTAATTAAACTGCTGAGCCATCTCTCTCTCCTGCCTGGTAACCAGTAACTTTGCTTGTTTTGGGACAGGGTCTCTCAAGGAGATCTGCCTGCTTAATTAGAGACATTAAGGCACCATGCTGGGCCCATTAAATTGTATATCTAGGAAAGGACATTTTAAGATCCTTTACTTCAAACTACAGATAATGAAATTAACTCCCACAGACATTTAAGGGATTTTAGTGTTGTTGTAGTTGCTGCTACTAATTTAGTTAACCATGTCTCCTCCTTTTGAGTCCCACTCTCATCTAATGAAACAGCTTGTTGCCTACAATAGTATCTTGTAGCTTTCCAATCACAAAATGTTTCTCTTGAGAGCTTCTGTAGACCACCAATCAGAGACTTTGGCTGGGAGCTGGCTCCTGATTGGCGGAAGGAAGTTGACCAGTAGAATGTCAAAGAGCAAAAGAGAAAGAAAAGAAAAAGCATAGCAACAAAAGAGTTTGCTGACCTCAGTACCCTCAGCCTAGGCCAACCTGGACTCCATCCCAAATGAGGTGGCCCCTACATTTTATATGAAGGCTCTGACTTACCACACAGTGGTGATCCATCTGGTAACATGGCAGTCCAATACAGATTGGAAGCGAAAACTGAGCACCACAGCTAAAATACAGTGTATTCCCAGGTAAAACAGACAAATGCTTTCATTTCAAATGGATTACTCTGATAAGCTTCAGTTACAAAGTAACAGAGAGTCCCTAGTGACAGGAACCATCTTTGTGAGCAGTGTCATTTGTTGCCACTCAGTGGCAACAGTTGCGAATGACAGGACCCAGGATCAACAGACAGACAGGAGTTGCTGCCACCTCAGAGTCCTGCAACCAGGCACTGTGGGGCAGATGCTTTTAGGATCCGTTCCAACTAGGAATGAAGTCTCCTTTTGTGCTTTTCTGGAAGAAGAAAGTTAACCATGGTATGTGTTCTCCTCATTTACAGGATCCACACTGTGGAGACAGGATGAAACTCACCAGTGAAAAGTTGCCCAAAAACCCTTTCTCGCTATCGCATTATGCTGCTAAACAACAGAAATTCTACCAATGGAATAAGGAGAAACCTGGTATAAAATCTGAATGTTTAATCTTTGCTTGGAAAATATTTTTACTGGAATTCCATGCATTCTAGAATAAACAAGAAAAGAAAGACATATTGTTGGTTTCCAGGAGGTAGTTAATGTTATACTCATTTCTGGCTTTCCTGGAGTCTGGCGACCTTCTTAGACAGCAAGCTGACCTGAGGTGTCTCACAGGTCACGCCTGATGATGATTTTACCCTCAGGACTGAACGTGCTGCTTCTAAAAAGGAGAAGCTGGAGTGCTGCTTCCCCCAGCAAGTGCAACACAGTGCTTTGCTGCAAATGAATATTTAAAGCTATTTTCATGTAAGCGTCAAAAACTGAAGTGGAGATGGTCAGCTCATTTGATTAGTAGTGCTAAATATGACTCAAGCTAAGAGTTTAACTCGCCCATAAGACAGCTTTGTCCAATGTATGCAAAGGCTGCATGTGAGTGCCTACCTGACAATGAACAGTAGTCTCAAACTCAATAAGCATTTATTGATTATGCAAGGTGTTGTATTAGGTGCTGTGATCATTAGTTTGTTTGGGTAATAATTCTTTCTTGGAGCTAAATTTTAGGAAGTAGAAGTTGGAAAGAAACTGCTATTAACAGCACCCAATTCTCTGTTACATATGGCTGGCTTCAAGAGAGAATTCACATCATGTAGTTAATGCAATTTTACCTTTCTCAATTAGATTATTACCACCACGCTAAATTGGTGGACACAGCATTGCAGTTCCTGAAGGAAAGAATAAAAAGAGGAGATACTATGGCATATTTTCTAAGAGGTCAACTCTATTTTGAAGAGGTATCTTTTGGATCAGTTTTTTTTTAATTTGTATAATTGTATTATTAGGACTTAATTGCTAGGGTTGTTTGGGTAGTAGTAGAGCAATTGCATAGGGTAGACAAGGCCTTGGGGTCCACCCCCAGCATCACACAAAAAGTAGAGGCAGCAGATACATGGTCAGGGTAAACTTTCAGGTGAGTTTCTTACATTGTTATGCCGGAGAAATTCTGTAAAGTCACACAGGCTATGGTTGTGGCTTTATGTGTGGCACACAGAAGTAAGAGTAAGGAGACATCTGGTCTTTCTTCACGAAAGTTATTCCAAAGAAGTCATTTTGAAAGATCCATTTCACACTGCAAGTTGAAAACATACATTTTATGGTTTTATTCACAATATGTAGTATCATTCAGGAGATATTTGTACATTAATAATAATTGAATCCCATCATTATTTGGTTTGAAAAGTAGCTTTTCATATATCCTATTCATCATGAGGAGACCATTTGCTTATTTATCCACATTATGGTGAGATAGCTTGGTAGGTAGACCTAAGAAAAATTCTGTGTGCTATTAGATGGGCTTCAGAAATAGAGCTTCAAGTTTTCATCAGACCCCGAGGAATTGTCCCCACTCCCTCATGATCTTTTTAGCACTCGGGAAATTATTAGCTCATGTCTTCCTTTCTCTCTAACCTTTTGTTTACTTGATCTCTTGAGGCCTCAGTGTACACAACCTATCTGAGATGGCATAGCTTGATGGCTTAAGACAATGTCTTCTCAGTTTGGGCCATTTTCAATATGGCACATCATCTGTTAATTGTGTATCTATCCCTTAGGCACAAATGACCATCTGATACTTCAGTTCAGGATTACTTTAAACACATCATAAAATGAAATATTTTCTGGGACTTTTAGGGCTGGTATGAAGAAGCCTTGGCACAGTTTGAAGAAATCCAGGAGAAAGATCATCAAGCAACTTATCAGCTAGGAGTGATGTATTATGATGGGTTGGGGACCACCGTAAATGCTGTAAGTTATTGTTTTGTTCAAGGTGTTTAAGATTTCACTATACTGGATTATTTGATGCCATGTTTGCGTTTTAACAATGTGTCTCCATTTTTGCATCTTAATATTTAATTTTTAGTATTTTAATGAATACTGATGTCACATATGTAAAAGACAAAGTTAATATCTTTTGGTCCCTTACCACTTCGTCGCCCTTCAGCTCCAAATCTAGTTTTTGACAATTACCTGCATTTTTTCCTCCAGAGTTTAACTCACTACATTTTACTACTTTATCATCTGACTGACATTTCAGTCTCACTGGTGGTGGTGTTGAAAGACCTCAGAAGAGGTACTTTCGTAGCAGGAGACCCGCACCCAGGAATCAGCGAGACCACATTTGGATGCAAAACCACAAGAGGCTTTATTAGTGGCGCCGGGCACCCGGGGGCTTAGCTTCTGTTAGGCCAAGCCCTGAGGCAAGGGAGAGGGGTCCTTATAGAGCTAAAAGCACAGTGCAGAAGCGAAAAGCATAGTTACAGGGATTCTATTGGACAATTTAATGAGGTACAGAGTTATTTTAGGTCAGTATATTCTCAAGGTCTGTACCTGGAACAACAAACTCAATTCCCCCCTCCACGTCCAGATGGCTGACCTTGGGACGGAGGTTCCCCATCGGGCGGGGGCGCGGGGGCGGGGGGCGCCCTCTCCCCGCTCGGCCCCAGCCCCGGGACGCGGTGCCAGGCGGGCGGGCCTGGGTCTCGGCCCCGCCTGGGTGAACCGGCTTTGGGGGGGGCCCGCCCCCCCGCG